GGCTCAGGGCGCCTTCGCGGCCAACAGCGGCACCTGGTGTCCGAGCGCGGCTCCTTCTGCGAGTAGCCGCCTCCCGCCGCCTGCAGCGGCGCTGCGCTCGGGAAGAACGGGCCGCGGCTCCGCCCGCTTGGGTGACAAGCTCCGTGATTTCCCTTCGGAACATTTCCCCTCGCCAAAAACGATACTAGGTGGTGTGGCTCTTCTCTTCTCCTTTTCTCTTCTCTTTTCTCCAGGGATCATACCTCTGACGGTCATCACTGAAAAGAGCCTACCTCACTTCTGATCTCGACTTCGTCTTCCCTACACATTGCTGAGGAGGCATAACTTGGTTTTCTCATTTATTTCTTTACTTGCAAAGAGAGTTCAGCTGTTTCTTCTACAGAAGAAGACTGTATCCTTGATGTTCTATCTATGGAAAGAACTCAGGTCTCCAGAAGACATAGATTCACATCAAATTTATTTGTGCTTATTGCAGCAACACTAAAACCAAGCTGAACCTGCTTACTTTTTCATGGCTTTGTGACAGTGAAGTAGCAGGGCAATCCCATGCCCTCTCCTTGGTTTTCATACAGTAAATAATAGAGCAAGGACATCATATTACAAAGAATATCCGTGTCTGTCCATAACAGAATTGTTTTGCCTTTTGAAATATAGGTCCAACCTAAGAAATCTGCAATGCATACAAATTCCAAAAGACTCTCAACTCCATCAGTGACTCCCTAACTCTTTATGTCAGTCTAAACATAACCCACAGAGCACAGATCCTCTCAAAAGGGTGAAATAGCCCAGGGAACCTGAGCTCTCTAGTAGTTGTTATGTCTCAGTAAAGTATTTCCTGCAAGTTTTATTACCCACTTGTAGCTGCACAATGAATGACAAGTTCTTTCGTACCTTTTTTGGCACATAGGCATTCACAGTGCAGCAAAACAATGCGCCCATTACTGACAGAGATGAGCTGCTGCAGGATTCAGTACAGTCATCCAGCCATGACATAACTGAAGACAACACAAAAGGGTTGCACCACTGCTGTGGCAGGGTACAGTTCATCTTGCAACATGTTCCCATGCTCCCACCTCATCCACCAACATATAAACACATCAGGGCCCCTTCTCTACACAACTACTGACACTTGCTGCTACCCCGCCATGCAGGCCACGCAGCAACATGAAACAGGAGATTTCACACAGTAGTGAGCTGCTGGTTCTACCACAGAAGCATCAATGATGCAACAGCAGGTCAAAACAAAATGAAGATAAAAAATGCTAAAAAAATCCAGGTAGGTCTGTTGATAGGTCATCTTTAATTACACCTGTTGCTATTGTAACAGTTGTCTTGAATTACTCCCAGGTCTCCATTGTCAGGGACGAGTTCAAGGATCACTGTTCACGATTTTGGGAAAGCAGAGCTGGAAAAGGAAACAGATATTGTCCAGCCTCTCAAATCCCTGCTGTATTGCCAGCATTTCTGTATCCCCTTCCATGAAGATGGAAACAGAAATTAAACCTGAAGCCTCATGGCCTTCTCTCAAGGAAAACCTCATCTTAAAAGACTACAAGACAGTGAACCACAGTGATGGCAAGTGGCGCAAATTCTGAAATCAGGCAGTCAACACTGGCAGCAGCATGGCTCTTGCTCACAATTATTGACACATCTCCTGAGAAAGGCAAGCTAAGTCACCCTGCCTATGGGGGAATCAGGAGCTTCAGGTGTCGTCCCAGTTCATATTCACATGATCGTCATGAGGCACACACACAACGAGACACAAAGTAACAGTTTATTTTTAAAAATATTCTCAAGAACGAAAAAAATAAAAGAAAGGACATACAACACCTACCACTGCAGGGTACATTGAACTAGCGAGTCAGGAACCATAGTGGAAGTGCTTCTACAAATATATTCACCCACCAAAACCAAGTTCTCTGGCAATACATCTTGCTTAATATAGCACTACAGCTGCATGTTTTTCACACCTACCTTGGTTCCCGCTCTTCTGCCATTAAGTACTTTGTATTAGAAAGTACATTTACATCATGCTTGGAAAGGGGCAATGTGAAATGTTTCTACTATCTTTTCCATGTCCATAGTAATTCTGTACTACTTCACAACTAATATAGCCCATGCAAGGTGAACAGAGAAGAACCTGGAGTACCAACTGTGGTCACCTCGCATGATCTCTTTCAGAGGAGAATCAAAAAGGAGGACAGGCTTCTGATTAAGAAAAGACTGGAAACCAGCACTTCACAGCAGCCAGAAGCAGAAAGTTCATTACAACTACCCTACCTGCAAGACAGGAAAATGTACTCAAATGAAGACACTCCATACAAAATGGAATAAGGCTGCAAGAGGTGATTGGAGCTGTGATTAACTACACAGATGGGAGGATAACCAAACCTAGTCATTTGAGCAAGACAGTAAGTTCAACACTGCAGTCGGGGAGAGATCTTTGCCAGGAACTGTGCACATCAGGGGATCTCAAAAAGTCATGGAGAGTGATGTAACAAAGGTTACAGGAGATATTACCCAATGGAGCAGAGTTAAAATACATGTCTGCTGAGAAACGCAGAAAGATTTGATGACCCTGAAGACCTAGGTGGGAAAATACCAAAAAGCTTTTCCATGCAGGACACCACAAAGCTGAGGACATGGGGGAAAAAAATGTGGCTTCAGCAGAGACTGTGACTGACTTGGAACCAAACATTTAAGGCTCTGAAATGACATCTTTCATGCAGGGAAGACAGACACATACATATATCAGCTCCATTCTCAGTGCCAACCAAAAGGGTAAGTCTTATGAGACCATGGAAAAAAACTCCGTTTCATCCAACTTTGTGGAAGTACATGGTTCACCAACATTTTGAATATTTTATGGAGGTCCTCCCCTTCCTACAAGGGCAAGAAGAAGAGAGGAGACTATGAAGGGTTTCAGAGGCAGCCAGCAGGATAACCAATGGTTTAGAGCAGCTTCTATTTCAGGAACATTTCCTTGTGTTAAAAAATAAAAGACTGAAAGGGAATATGACAGAGGTCTTCAAAGCAGTAGTACCATGAAGAATGATAAGGAGCAAAAACATAAAAAACTAGATTAGACAACATTGCGTGAAAACTCATCCAGCTTCAGAACGCACACCTTTCAAGAGCGGTCTGGAATTGATATTCCTACATGACCTTTCAATCAAAACTTATACTGTTCTCCCAATACACATCAGCCTTCTCTACAAAAACATACGAGGTACTACAGAAAAGAGCAGCCTACCCTATTACACCTCAGACTGAAATAAAGAAGTAAACGACCACGTGAAAATATTAGCATTGATGTCGTGATGCTATAGAAAACGGCTGCAGAAAAACTCAGAGCAATTCCAGTCCCCAGGAAGAACAGAAAGTGACATAAGAAAACTGCAGTGGTGTTAACAGTTTCCAGAAAATGAAGACACGAGGGACGCTGCAGTCAGCATTCAGAGAGAAAGCATCCGCCAGGCCCCCACCACCCGCGGGCCCCGGCGGCTGAGCCCGGCTCCCACCAGCGCCTGCCCGGGGCCCGGGCGACAAGGGACACGGGAAGGGGGAAGGGGCGAGAGGCGACAAAGGGGGGGGCACTGACCGTGTCCACGAGAGCGGGCGCCTCCGGCTGCGTCTCCTTCGCCGCGGGGACGGGCGGCGGCGGGAAGTTGGGGCTGAAAACCATCAGGTCGCTCTTGCCCGCGCCCTCCGCCACGCACAGGCTCCGGCTCTGGCGCTGCGAGTACGACCAGCTCCCCACTTCGCTGGCGCACACCAGCGGCGCCGGCCCGGGCCCCGACAGCACGGCCGCCCGCGGCGCCCACCGCGACGCCCCGTACAGCACCACCGCCAGCAGGAACAGGCTCGACACCGCGCAGATGGC